AGGTTTTCTTGAGTGTGACGCCTGGTAGTACCTGTTACTAGAACCAGTCGCTGACAGGTTACGGATTTGTGGGATACCGACAAGGTCACGAAATATTCTCGCGAATGGGAGGCATGGGCACGACTGCGGAAGTTTACGACGCCGAGATGGCTGGACTAGCACATGGGGCAGCAAAAGCAGTTCATTACGCAATAGACTCCCCCTCCATCCACCACATCCTCATCTACGCTGACAACTCCTCTGCGATCATGACAATATATGACCAGAAACCAGTAGCAGCCTGCCAGAGCTACGCTCAACGATTTCGACGCTCAATTGAAAAATTCCTTGAATCCGACCAACGAAACACAGTCGAAATTGCCTGGTGCCCAGGACATGAGAAGATAGAGGGCAACGAGAGAGCGGACGGACTAGCGAAGGAAGCGGGAAAACTCTGGACACCCACATTTCACACCTTCACCCATGCAAAACGACGAGCCAAAGCCAAAGCTATGGAAGACTGGAGGAAGGAACATGTGCACAGACCCCTTCGAGGCGGATTTGCACTGGCAAACGGACTACCTCCACGCTGGAAACCCAGAGACTACTTCAATAACACCCCAAGAGAAGTCTACGGACGACTCATACAATGTCGCACACGACATGCCTTCCTCGGTGAATACTATGCCAAATTCGTACCAACAGAACCAATCCAGTGCCCCTGCGGCGCTCGTACACAAACTCGAGACCACATTATCCAAACATGCGAAATCTATGATGACTATCGAGACCTCCTATGGAACGTATCAGATGACCTTGATATAGGGGAAATATTAGGAACTGAAGAAGGAATCGAAGCGCTAGCAGAATTCATTGAAAAAAGCGGAGCATTTAAAAAGACAGGACAACTAACACCAGAAATCACGGAGCCGAGACTGGATGATGCAACAGTTGAAGGAGGAAACGAGGCAGACTGGGAGGAGGAGGATGGTAGGATTGCGGAGGAGGCAAGCGACGACGACGAAGACTAATAGGCGTAATCATACGCTGCAGGCGACAAGATCAAATCCACGGACTCATCAGTTTACACATTGGCTCTATGTTCTCTATCTCTCTCTATGACTCTATGTTCTCTACACCCAATTTTCATTCCCATCTTCCTATACTAACTCCTTCAGCCACTCATATCTGTTGTCCAAACCTCTTGATCACTGCATTTACCTCGACTTACACACAAATTTACTACAACCGTTACGATGCAACAACCAATGAACACAGTTTATAATACATACTCAACCACTATACGATACTCGGTGTCACTAGTACTTAGTACATAGTTTCCCCCGCTCTTGGCTCCGAAATGGTGGCCTGCGGCGGTTAAATTAACTCTCTCTCTCTCTCTCTCTCCTATATTATAAAAGACTAACTGGGCGCTTAGCATGATTACCAATAATTGGTCAGCAAATTAAACGCCTAAATTTTACCATGAAACGGTGCTGCGGAGTCGCCGGAATCAATGCCGTGTTCTCCAGCACTTTTTAGTGCGACAATACTACGAGTACTTTAACAGTTGAACTCTGTGACATGAATATGTATGCATTGAGTATACTGCATGCTGTGGCTGCTGCCTCATTTTACAGTATTTGTTGAGCAGAACAGGGGATACACAGTGGTGACACTCTGTGGTACACCTGGATAGTGTTTAGCTTATAATCTCAGAGAGGCAATAAAGGTCAGAGAAGCGAGCTTGGATTCCAGTACAGGACATAGCTACTTATATACATAAATGCATGACAGTATTACATAAGGAAGTACTGAGGAATCCGCATATGGTATATGATGTCAGTGTATACTAAGCATAGACTAAGATAACACATGACTGTATTAGTGATGTGTGAACAGCATAGCCACGTTCAACAGTATTGATATAAGAAGTGCTACCAATTGAAGAAATCACTTCAAACTTTGCAAGGCATTATGAAGAAGAATTCTGAGTTAGCAAAATTGCTTGCCATCTACAAGTCTCAACTTAATACATCCTGCAGTAAACAATGATCCATGGGTTCTTGAATGTACTATCCTTTGCCCCAGAAATGTTGTAGTATATTAACTACTTGGATGCTTTAGCAAGAAATGCATTCACCTATTAGAGAGCTGATAGTGTTGGTGCAAATGAAGGAGAGGACAACAACAATGAATTTCACTACCCTGTTGGGTATTTAAATAGTATCCATGAACCAGGTCTTCCACTGTCAGCGACTGGTTCTAGTAACAGGTGCTACCAGGCGTCACACTCAAGGAAACCTTAGTTGGCGAAACGAGCGAAGTTCTGGACTAAACCAGGTAGAATAGACGAGATCAAAGCTAAGGAAATACAGCAAGTAACTACAGCCTATATACGAGTAAACAACCCTCTGCCCTAGTAACGCCCAATACCCTGGGCTAGTGGTAAACATGAGTAGAACATAAGTAAAGCAATATGTAAGTAATGAAAAGCTCGATCATCATGCTGTATATGTGTTGTGAGACTGCTGTGTTTAATATAAGTAAATGAAAAGCATATGTTGTATCAGTAATCATGAATAATAGGTCAGGTGACAAGATAAGACAGGATATAGGATAAGGGAGATAGAAGATAAGACAAGAGATAAGGAAAAAGATAAGATGAAAAGAAGTAACCGTAACATCCACTGGTAAAACTTGAGCTCAAGATTGGTGCACCTATTATGATACTTTGAAATCTTGACCAATCTTCCAGGTATCTGCAATAGAACCTGAATCTTGGGCTAAGGGTTTGAGAACAGTTGAGAGCACTTCTCAACAGTGGAAGCACCCACAGCATGTTATATTCAGTGCTTGCAGCACTGGGATCTACTCTTGGCCCTTAGCTGAATATTCAGGTTTTGCAGATGAGTCAGAGTTCTGGAAGCAAGAATATTGGGTTGTGATAAATCTGCAAAATCAATTTTCTGTATCATACTCAGTTCATCAGGTTTTGAAGAGGCACCAGATTCCAGTATGACTTACATTTGCAATGATAATAAATAAATTACAGGGAAAATCTGTAAAACATGTCGCATTTTCAAATCCTGTGTGTTTTCTAGAGCAATGGTACTGGCCAATTGTCTGAGAACACCTGGAAGAGCTTCCCAGCAGCCAAACCATTTAGAACAAGTCAAAAATACTCCAAGTGCCTTGGGTAATGGAGAGTGCTCTTCACCTGGCACCCTTGCACTGGCAAATATACAAGCTTTACAGATGTGGAGTATGATAAAGGCTGTAATGAAAGTTTTGTTTGGTAAAGGTAAGTTTTATATTCTAATTCATAGCAAGTCTCTAACTTTGAATTCTAGAAGATAGACATTGCCTTACTACAAATATGGTGTACCCAGAAGTTCTTCTAGATAGGAGAAGTATGTTGTTTACAATGAAAATGGCTCAGAATACTGCATAATAAATATGGAAGTATGGAGGCGCAAGGCGCCGACTAAGGGGGGTTTGGGGGCTTGCCCCCAACAAGCTGTGAACCCTGCTGTAGCACACGGTGCGAGCAAAGCGAGCCACCGTGGCAAAGGCACGGGTTCTAAAGCTTGTTGCTTGTAAAAAAACAATGTCTACTCCCCCTTCTTGATAATTCCTTCTAGCCGACTTGAACGACTGACCTCGTCATACCATATAAGATATATACTAGTGACGCGCTCTACCAACTGAGCTAAGAAGGACACAATAAATTTGATGTTGCAAACAAAACATGTAGATGGTAAGTCTATTACCTCAGTCCCAGACGTATTAAGAAGTGCAATTGAAAACGAGCGTGAGTTCCGGTAGAGCGAATCATGGATTAGAAGAAGAAGAGGGAATTTTTTGATTTTAGAGCTGTACCCGATCTTGCTCGATCTTGAGCTGATCACTAGTTTCAATAGGTTACGATTCATGGCACCTTCGACGCGAGTTTCTCTCGGGTAACATTGCGGATCTGCGAGCATTTGAAATCTATTTTGAGTTAGATGGGTGAATTTACAAGGAATGAACGCGGCATGGCAGTCAATAGTCTCAGTCTCAGTCGAGTCTCACCGGTTAATTAGCGCTCACGCGTTAATCGTTCACAAGATATACTGTACCAAATAGGGACTATGTAGGTTATAAGCGGTGACGGGCAGCTGCGAAAGCAGATGTAGAGTTCAGTGATCCAGGATCCTACCCATACCATAAATGTTCATTTATCTGTCTATATGGGTTGGGATCCTGTTCATAAGGATCACAAAGCTGAACTGCCGCTGCAACTTAGGTTGCAATATGATTACACGAACTTAGGCTCGGCCCGGCCGTCGTGTGAAGTGAATACCTTAGTCTGACAGAGGGGGATATTAAAAGAGCGGCCCAACAGCGGATGATAAGTGTCCTAGGAGGAACTTACTGGATTATAGTCATTCTAAGGCACTTCGATGATCAAAAACTGTGAACTTTTTGTCATTGTTACCATGTGATTGAAAATTGCTGCCTAAAAACAGTCAGCGACGAGCACAATAACTCCTAGTATTATCACGGTAGGTTCTACGGACGAACAAGCAGGCTATGTTGCCTCTACTACTTCCTCTCGCCCTTCCCCTAGTGTCATCTCATCGAAGCCCTCCAGCAACTCATCCAGCTGTATCTCAGGGAAATCCGCCTCTTCCTCTTCCTCTTCTTCAATCTGTCGAGGGGTTTCATCAATATCCATCGCAAATTGTGGTTTCTTGGGTGCCCTCTTTGTCTCCGTTTTCATATTCACATCTGTCGATTTGTAGAGATTAACGGCACTTCTCATCTCTGGATCTTCCTCAAGGTCACGAAGGAAATGCTCGTAGTCCTCTTCAACCTTCTTTTGATCGCGACCACCTAGCCGTCCGACGACACCACGGCCACTACCCGTCTCACCCTCTTCGCCAGCCTCTTTCCCAATACTCCTGAGCTTCCAGCCTCTTGATTTGTTCTTCTTCCGCCTGTTCGGATATGTTTTCTTAACGAGCATAATGTCAGGTATCCGCTCTGCAGGCAGCGAAGCAAAATCGTCCGAATTGTAGTTGGAGTTCGTTAGGAAGTAACCTAGAGCAGTGTCCCCTGGTTGAAGAATTCCACCGAGATGTGTTCGTGTGTGATATATTTGATTTGTATAACCAGCGCTCTCGTAGTCCATGGAGTCTTCGTCCTGACCGGCACCAGATCGGAAAGCCCCCGCCAAAGCGACTTGGGCATCTGCCAAAACGAATTTACCCCGCGATCGACCGTCTGCTTCGACATCGAGAACAGTGAATTCCACGAGATCTGTCACGGTGGCTAGCGAGTTGAATTCGTTCCGCCAATAGATAGCAGATGTTATTTCGCATGTCTGTAGAGTTGCGGGATCAAGTAGTTGGATAGAACTGCCGACTCGGGTACAGACGGTGAGGGGACTGATATTTCCAAGCTGCCGGGCTTGTTTTGGAGGTATGCAGACCAAATCATCTTTGCATATAGGCATGATCTCGACAGAATAGGTATATTTGAAGTTTGCGGTATTGCTGTGTGTATCCGATGAAAGGAGTTGCTCCGAGGCCTTGGATCTACAGGGGAATTAGTTTTTGTGAAAGTAGCGGACGAGTGGTCATACCGGACTGGGACAACACCCGTTAAGAATTCTACCATTTTGATCGCATGACTCCTTTGACTGTAAAAGAAGTCCAGTCCATCCTTAACTTCCTTCACTGAGATCGTGTCTTTTTGTGCGCCGTGCTTCAGAATTAGCTGTTCGAGGAAAAGAAATGTTCGTTTATGTGGAACTTTCTGTCGAACTTGAACCAGAGCTTTCCAGGTGTTTTTAGCGGCAAGTTTTGCGCAATCGGGGCACTGGCCATGTTGCACCAAGTATTCTATTTCGAAGGTTTGTTCTAGGATTGTGCTGGTAAGCACCTGATGGCGATGATGAGTAAGATGCAAGAAAGAGAGGCAGGAGCACGTACCTCTTTCTGGATCGTCAGCGATACCCGCAATCGTTTCGAATGTGGCTCTGTCCATATGAAATGCGCCTCCGTTAACCGTACTTTGGGTAATCCTTTCAGCTTCTTCAGACACAATGCAAGGAGCTCAGATGATTCGGGTTTTGCGAGAACCCAAGCTTGCGGAGGTGCAAGAAATCGTTCACAGTTCCTGCAGAATGAGACGGAAGCTAAGAAACGACAATCAGGATTGGATGGTGACAAAAATATCTGCAGAGATATATCGAACCTTGCTTGGGGATCCCTTCCGTGATGTCGACCCTAGGGATTGATCAACATTCCTTCTGCACTCAACCCAAGTCGGGATAACATACGTATTTCGCAAACAAGCGACACATAAATTGGCAGAGTTGGGTACGATCGGAGTACCTGATTAAAAAATCAAAAATCGATCAAAAGGGCCGGCTTGGAGCAGCACATACCACAATCAGCGCAGAGAACACGATGGACTGCAGGCGCAGGAACAAATTCCATGGCTGTTAGTAACCAAGTTTGCAGACCAAGAGTTTACTCAGCAACTTTTTGCGGAACCGATTATCACATTATGATAACTTTATTTAAGCGCCTTTGGCACGTGGCTCTAAATCGGGCGCTTGATTGGCTTTCTGATTCTCTGTGCAGACGTGTCTGCTTCGTGGCTCATCGGTTTTTTGCACCTATTAGTATTATCGAATGCCTGCTTGAGTACTTCGGAAATATGCTCTCGCTCTTGCCCTTTGTTCTTTGCCTTAGCAGGTATGCCGCGGCAAGTCCCCCGGTCAAGGTCTCTCTCAGAACTTCATGGCCTGCGCCGCCATTTCTAGTAGAAATTATGTGCGTACAGCTTGTTGTTCTTATAATGCCTCATTACTGATACTAATAATTCCTTAGTGAAACCGTCGCATTAGAAAATTCCAAAGCTTTCTTTCCTTTCCTCGACCGTGTCACAGACCCGGATGTGGTGATCATCACACCAAATGAAGCCCCCGAAGCTATCTATTCGTCTTCCCTGGAAGTCGCAAAGAATATGGGCTTGTTCTCAGCATCAGGGGCCCTGGCCTTCGTTGAAATGAGCCTTGCTCTCCATGCTGCTACGCCCAAAATCGAGGCGTTCTATCATCATTACACGGAGACTGTCGAACAGTCTGCGCGTCGTAAGGAATGCGGGTCATGGGTAGACTGGTATGGGTCTGTGGTCTGTAATGTGGAATCATTGGCACAGCTTGCCGGGTTAGATTCGATAGATTCGATGGAAAACTATTCGTGAGTACCGACTCTGTTCAGTGTCAACATTGTGGTTGAAGTTACGACGTTTAGTTCAAATTATACGAGACCCAAGATTCTACCATTCGACCACATTTATCCACCTCCACAAAGTCGATTAGAAACCCCACCACGCACCGCGATCTTATACGCCTCATTGACCTCTCCCAACTTTCGTGAACTTCATACATACTTGATGAGGTTGACAAGTCATGCAGAACATCGTATCGAGTACATCCTTAGACACGTCCCGCCTGAAAATCTTGACACATCCAAACGGAGTTATCTCTCTGGATACAGTGTTGCTCTTGACTTGAAAAAGATGGATTACCTTGCTTTGGATGATAGACACCTTGGGACACAACGGGACGATCCTTCCCTCTCAGATGATCAGGAAGTCGAGGCTCCCATCGTTGATCCCATATTCTCGCTCCTTGACGGCTACCCAGAAAATTCTACCGCGCCTGATGCCAATACCCCTCCTACAGAAGATGAACTCCACACCATCGGGTTCCAAGCATCCCAACTTATCATGGACTCTTCTAATCCTCTTCTCACCCTTGTGCATCTTTCGCAAAACTTTCCCAAATACGTGACGACCCTTGCACGTCGTGTTTCTGTCAATGAAGGCCTTGCACAAGAGGTGCATGAGAACCAATTGCGGGTTCAGGGCGGTGCCAACGCTATGTGGATCAATGGAGTTTCTGTGGCAGAAAAAGACCTGAACGCGTTCGGCTTGTCGCGGTTGTTGAAAAAGGAACGAGGTATCATGATGCAGTTGACGGGCTTGGATCTTGAAAGAGGGGAGGCGATAGAACTACTGACTCATCCTATACTTTCTGCCGCTCAAGACAGCAAGGATGTTTTGGATGGGTTAGTTGATGCTAGTGACCGGGCTGAAGGTGGAGATGTTATTATATGGTGGAATGATCTCGAGAAGGATAAAAGGTGAATCGACTCGCTGTGATGAATTTATATCTGGTTCCAACAACAATATAGGTATAATCAGTGGGGTGCCTCAATAAGCGGTGTAAGTCGAATGTCTTTCAATGAGTTTTTGGAATGCTGACACTATCCCACAAGTTATTGCGACCTCTATACCCCGGACAATTCCACATGTTGAAACTCAACCTGTTCAATGTGGTTCTCGTTCTCGACTTGTCTCGCCCAGCCAATTTAGTATTTGTCGCCGGGACTATGCATAGTATCATCGAGAGAGGATTCCCATTCCATTTTGGTGTTGTGCCCATTGTGGAGACGGAAGACGGTAAGCTATGTGTTTTGCTCTGTAAATTCGTTTGATTGACTCCACCTAGGTGCCCGAATGGCGAGATTGGTCTACTTTCTGTTGAACAACTTTGGCCGCAAAATGACTATGAATTTCTTAAAACGAGTACTCAAACTGTCTTTGTCAAAACGATTTCGGGAAACTGACAAGTCCTTTTGTTCTTAACATAGGTGGCTCA